CAAGCCACAGTTTGCCGACCCCTGGCTGCTCTTCCATCACAAAAGTTTGCTGACCCCTGCACTAGTAGATTGTACTACTGGTCATAAGTATTCACTGCCCATCCCTGTTGAACTAGACACGGACAATGAAATATGGACCGAAGTGACGCATCACTTATGAACAGGAGCTTTAAGAGCTAGCATGTCGTCCTCCACACTGTCTCCCCTCTGCCACGATGCCTGGCAATTTCCAGGTGGCAGCTGCTCCCTCAGCTTGGGCCTCAGGCTGAACAGGGCCACTTTGCTCCTTACTGGGCATAGAACATTATCAGTCAGGGCCGCCAACAGGAAAACGGAAACCACAGCCATCATTTTAACAGAGAATTAGAATGGATATTGGAGGATGGAAAAAGGGTGCAGGTTAGAGTGTCACAACCCGGAGGCTCAGAGGAGAGGACCCTCGGAACTGGGACTCAGACCTCTGAGTGAGGGGTGTTTGGTACATGATATCTCTGTGGGGACACAATGAGGTTGGTTCCAGGGTGTGTGTGTAAAAACAGAGACTGTTTAGGTGACACTGAGCAGAACAGACAAGGGCAGGAAATAGTGAGTCCCTGATCTTTCTTCCAGACTGCAGTCTCTAGCACATGCCCCCTATTGGAACAGCCTACCAGGAGCAAGCAGCTGACAAAGCGGGAGTGTGGCTTGTGGGGACCCAGCCCCAGCACCACAGAGCAAAGTATAGAAGGGAAGGTTTGGAGCTGAGCGACAGCAGCTTAGTAAGTGGCACATGGAGTGAGAGTGAGAAATCTCAGGCCGGCTGAGTGGCTCAGTTGGTTAAGAGCTTGCTCAAGAGTGCAAGCTCTGAGCAACAGCGTTGCCAGTTCAATTCCCGGCCCGAGCTGAGCTGCCATTGAGCTGCCAACAGGTGGCAGGATGGCTCAGCTAAAAAATAAAAAATTTAAAAAAGAGAGAGTGAGAAACCTCTTTCTTAAGCCACTGAGATATGGGGCTATTTGTTACTCAGCATAGCCTAGTCTGTCCTAACTATCTACTAGTCTAGCCCCAAAGACTAAATCCTGAGTCCCCTCCAAATATAACGTGGGGCTTCCCTTCTTACCTCTTTGCTTCCTCACCTGCTTTATATCAAATGCCTTCCTTTCCTAAGAGGTTCTAGAAGCCTCTAAACCCCTAAATATTGGTACTTCACAAGAGGAAGAAAGTGTGGCACAGAAAGGCAAAGAAACGTGTTCAATGTCACACAGTGCATTATTTGCAGAACTTATACTTGTGCCCAGGATTCCTGACTCCCAAACCTGGTTGCATGGGGGAACTTGGTATTAAACACAACAAAAATACTAACAGATGCCCAGACCTCAAGCCAGGAGATTCAGATTCAGGAAGTCTGAGGGGGTGTTGTGAGTATGTATGTCTAACAACAACAACACATACAAACATTTACATAGCAGTTTCTTTGTGCCAGGCACAGTCCTAAGTGCTTTACATATATGACTTCATTAATCCTCACGACAATCTTAGGAAGTCTGTATTATTCTTTCTCATTTTACAGATGGGGAAACTGAGGCACATCTCTACAATAAGCAGGAAATCTGATGCTATGGAAGAACATCAGGTTCTTTCAGGAATTGCAAGTTGGCCCACAGTGGGCACATCTGAAAATCAGGAACATTCATGCAAGAGCAAATGGAGTACAGTGGTGAAGGGCAGAATGCTGGAGCCGGAATGACCAGGTCTGAATCTGGGGTGATCAACAGTGCTGGTTTTCCCGGAATGAAGGGTTTCCTGGGACATGGGACTTCCAGTGCTAAAACCGGGACAATTGGTCACCCTATATTCCAATTCCACCAATTAGACTAGTGTGTAACTTTAGGGCAAGTTATGAACCTCAGTTTCCCCATCTGTAAAATGGGGATGATACCAGTATCGACCTCAGAATGTTGTGTCAACATTTAAGGTGTGTCTAAACTGCCTGAGTGTTTGCCATTAATATGATTATTAACATTTGGATTTCCAGATTTTCTTGCCTTGAAAGATCAGAAGATCCAGCAACAAAAGACCTACATTCTTACCTATTTATTTAGCAAACAATCATATATAGTGCTTTTTGCAACATGCCAGGCACTATTCTAGACATTTGCAAACATTCATTCATTCACTCAGAACATCTCCATGAGGTGGGTTCTACTATTGTCCAATTTTACATTACAATTCCTCAGATGAGGAAACTGAGGCACAAGGAGGAAAAGTAACTTGCCCAGTGTCACAGAATAAGAGGCAGAGTCAGGATCCAAATCCAGCCCAGCTGGCTCTATTTGGTGACAACCAGTTAACACTGGGTCTTAACTGCCCCCCTTGAGAAGGGCATGAATTCTGTTCACCCCAGCTCCCCACCCCCGAGTTTCTATTTCCATTCCTCCCAGGACCCTTTGAGATCCATGTTTTCCGCCCCCGCATCCCAGAGGGTCTCAACCACAATGGCAGCTTTCCCAAATGACCCCAGTGGGCAAGCCTGAGGTCACCAAGTCCAGCTTTCATTTCTTGGTCCCAAACGTTCTCAAAAATCATCCTCTCCTCTGAGAGATTTAGAGTAATCCCCTTATCCAATGGCTCAGGATCAGTCGAGAATCAGGTCACCTGCTTCAGCCTGGCTAGACCGGATTACCTGCCGTGACCCCAAAATTTACTCATGCATACCTGCTCCTGAGACATTTGCTGATTAATAACATCAGGGAGTTTGGGGATGGTGTGTTTTGCACCCTCTGGGGACATCTCTGACTTGAACGCAACCGCAGCTTGACATAGGGCTGTAGTTAAACACTTCTTTTCACCCCCTTCGTCCCCATTCCCCCAGCTACCCACCCTGCCCTGAATTTGCATCATTTGAAAGTTCCACCATATTCCACATAATTTAATGTCCCAGAAAATAAAAGCTGATCAAGTCAGTGGTCATTAAAGAACCAAGAGAGTGGCCAGAAGGTTCTGAAATCATCTCGGTCAGGGCCGTGTGATAAGTGTCTGGCTAGTTTTCCTGCCTCCTTGCAGAGAGCATCCCAGTGTCCCTCGTCTACTCTTAGTCTGTGAGGTTTGGGGGGCTGCCCCCAGGCTGTCTGGGTACAGGTGGCCTGGCCCATGGGAGCTGCAGTCCTGTCTCAAGGCCACAGCTCTTAACAGATTCCAGAACAGCCTCTACCCTCCGCTCCTTCAGGACAGGGGCTGCCTGCTCTGCCAGTCCCAGGAGTGTCACCATCCCCTGCTGGTTCCCTCTGCCCTGCCCACAGCTCTGTGACAAGTGCCTTCATTAATGCTCATCAGACACCCCCATGTCTCATGTGGGACCCTAACTGATTGATACACCTGGAGATGGATACACCAGCAGCCCCTTTGAGAGCTGAGCACCCTCTCACCCCCAAATCTGTTTTCTCAGCCCCCAGTACCTCCTTGCCATAAGCCCAAGCACTCACCTGCTTCCTTTTCATTGCAAATGCTGCTTGCTACCGCCCTCTCGTCTTTAGGGTTGCCCTTCTCACACTTAGCTTCAGATTGGGGTTCAGTCTCCCAGCCACCCTCCCCCTCACCACTCTGAGTTACTTTCACTGGGCACTAGGCCCTATGTTTGGGATTGCACAGGCATGAGCCCCTGCAGGGGAACCCACGTGGGGAAGTCACACAGCTTAAGCAATTTCCCAAAGTTCAGTCAGAGATGAACCGTTTTCCAGATTTGGCAAATCGGTGGTGGGCAGGAGGGCATGATGGTTACAGGCTTGGGCTGTGGAGTCAAGAGGTCTTTCAACATAAATCCCACTTCTGCCATGTGCTAGCTGTGTGACTTGGGCAAGTGACTTAACCTCTCTGGGCGTCTGTTTCTTCATTCAGGTTGCCATGTCCCCAACTCCAGGAGATGTCATCATTTGCACCAGAGGGTGCCGTTTACATAGACTGCTGAGTGAATGCAACCCCTGGAGTCCTGAAACAAGTGGAGTGGCGCTGACAATGACCCAGCACCTCCCTGGGTCATTGTTGTCAGGGCTCATTATGGCAAGAGTATGTACTCAGCAATCATCCCAATGACCTTAGCAGCCCCTGTCCCGCCATCTCAAAGGCCATTCCAAACTGTACCTCTACTGTCTCCAACTCCAGCTCAGCAAATACTTAGTTCCTTCCATTCTGATCCTGTGGCAGACATTATCAATCAATCCTGCCACTTTCCCCACAGATCCAGGATGCAGCACTCTAGGCAGGCAGCCATTACCAAAAGATTCAGGCAATCTGTCAAGAAAAAATCCACATTTGCAATTCCTTCTCAAGATTGTGATGTCCTTGAGAGCAGAAGTAGAGTCTTAATCAGCTCTGCCCACTCCTGCCCCAAAATAATAATAAGTTGTCATCTATTAAGGACTTGGGGAAATTTGTGGATGGACAAATTTGGCTTTCCTTCTTACTAGTATGTGTTTGGGTAAGTCCCTTTATCCTTCTAATGTCAAACAGAAATGGAAGCTCAGGAGCATGAAGGGACTTGCCCAGGGTCACACAGCTGCTAAGAAAGGGAACAAAATGATGTCAAACAGAGACAATAAGACCTCCTTCGCTGCATGCTAGTAGAGGTATGGATTCATGTAAAATCCTTTGCACACGCTTGGCAAATCATGCCAGACTTCTGTTTCTTGGCCCCAGCCTTGCATAAAACTGTTCCCTGGGGCTCACTGGCCAGAATCCTTCCTTGATATGAGAGCACAGAAGGTCCCAGGAAGCCCAGGTTATTGGCTCACAAGCTGGTGAGAATGCACCCTCTGGAACACTGGGGCAGGTAACCGAGAACTTTCTAGAACCCTGGGCTGGATTCAGATGCTGTGAGATCATACACTTGAGACTTCAGTTTGCTCAGCTAAGCAGCAGAGGTTGGAATGCTGATCTCAAAAGGCCCTCTGACATTCAAAGCTGCCTCCTCCTGCCCTCCCTGTGGCCTAAAGCACACTGGTGGGTGGCATGTTATATAAGGAATTTCCCAGCTTGTTGTGCAACCCTGGGCTGCCACACAGCTGCAGGGAAGGCAGGGACCCAGGAGGCTGGGCCTGGTTCTGAAAGAGAGGGCAACTTCCAGTGGGACCTGGCTGGCTATGAAGACATGAACCCTGATGGGCTACCCTGGCGTGGATCTTAGTCCTTCCTTCCTTGTTCCTATTTTGCCTTCCTTCCTTCTCTTCTTCTCCCTCTCCTACTCATAACCTACCGATTGAAAACATGGGTTCAAATTCCCGCTCCGCCAGTTATCAGCTGTATGGCAGTGGGCCAGTTGCTTAAACTCTCTGGGCCTCAGTTTCCTCTGATAATAACAATAGCAACCTTCACAGTACAGCCTCACAGTCCCTGGCCTCACAGAACCTACAGCCTATGAGAGGAAACCAGCATTAAATAAATATATAATTAATGGATTAATTATCAGGGGGCTAAACACTATGAGAGACCTTGGGTACATCTAAAGAAGGTTCTTGCCAAAGAGCAGGGGAGTTAGGGAATGTTTTCCAGGGGAAGTAGGAGATTGTAATTATCTTTATTGGCTTGTCTTTTCATTTATTGCCTCTTTCATTAGCTTATGAACTGCAAGAGGGCTAGCATCATCTATATTTTATTTACTAATGTTTACCTGGCATTGGGAGGCACGCAATAATTATGTTTGGATGATGAATGAATGCTATTCCACTGGAGACCAGAAGAATGAGTAAACCGAGTGAAGACAGTGGATGGAAGAGTGTCCCAGGCAGAAGGAACAGCAAGTGCAAAGCCCCTGCGGCTGGAAAGAGATTGGAGTGTTTAAGGAAATGAAGCAAGGACGGTATGTCTGGAGCAAGCAGAGCGTCAGGGAGAGTGAGACAGGCCACACAAGGCCTTGGGAGCCATATGGTGGATTTTCTCCACCAAGTGCCCAGCCAGGGCTGTAATGGGGACTAAGCTGAGATGTCAGAGAGGCCTGGGATCAAATTCCCCATTTTCTGCTGCATGACAAGTCAATTCACCTCCCTGAGCCCCAGTTCCTTGTTTGCAAAGGGGAAATAATAACAGTAACTTATTGCACGAGGTCTGGGGAGGATTATGGAATATAAAGCACTAAGCACAGTGCCTGGCACACAGATAGTGCTCAAGAAACATTTTTGTGATTGTAATAATAAAAATGACATCATTATGACTGATCCATGTCTCCTCATTCTCTTTCACTGTCCCCTAAAACTGTCTTCCCTTAAGGAGGGTCCCCATCTCCAGAAACCCCCACAGGGGCATAGGTGTTCTGCTCTTCCCACTCATTCCAGGCTCTAGCTCCCTCAGGCCCTCCTGGGGCTGTTCTCCTTGAAGCTCCTGCAGCCAAGATACTGAAGAGATGGTTCCCTTGGCTCAGGGCAGAATCCGCATCCATGTTGCTAAGCAACCAACCACCATCCAGATTCCAACTGCAGCCTGGGACGAGCATCGAGCATCAGCACTCTGGCACTCTCCGGAGGGCCTCCTGGGGGTGTCCCCAGGACTACAGGCTACATCCAGGGCTGTGGCAGAAGACAGCCAGGAAAGATGGCTCACTGAGAGTCAGTATACAGCAGTGGAAAGCCCATGGGGTCAAGGACAAATCCAAGTGCATTCAGAACCAGGCTGTACCATTTACCAGCTGTGCTGCCTTGAGCAAGTCAGTGAATCTCTCTGAGCCTCAGCTTAACTCATCTACACAATGGGATGCAGGCCTAACCACAGATCCATCATGGGGATTACACGGGATTCAAAGAATCTTGAAATGTGGGTGTATATCCAGGGATGAATCCACTCATCAGGGGTAATCAAGTTCAAACTCCTCAGCCTGCCCTGCATGGTCCCCTAACCTGACCTCTCCAATTTTCTTCTGTCAAACAAATTACCTACTCGTCCAGGCTTTCTCAACCTCGGTGCCGCTGACTGTTTTTAAACAGTTTTATTGGCATATAATTTCCATATCATACAATTCATCCATATAAAGGGTGCAATTCAATGCTTTTTAGTATATTCACGTTTCCTGCTAAAAATTGGATTTCTTTTACTTTCCAAGAGGGAGGCTTTAGAATGGACATTAGGGGACACGCAGCAGCCTTTGTCACAGCTCCCCAGGCCTCCATTTCCTAGTCTGTGAATTGGGGGTAACGCCAGTTCTGTCTTCTAAGGTCCTTTTGAGAATTAAGTGGATGGGCATAAAGAGTAAATTGGCAATAAATGCTAGCTAGTGGTTATTATGAAGATGAGTGAAACATCCTGATAGCAAATAAGGGGGGAAGAAAAAGCAGTGTTTTCTGTGCCAAGTAGGGCATGCCCAGGTTCAGTCGGGTACACTGATTGGGTAAATGACAGGAAGCTGCCCAGAGAGAACGCGGGGACCTGCTTTCACGCCCAGAGAGCAGTCAGAGATAAAGCCGTGGCTCCCTTTGCGTCCAGGAAGCGAGCCAAAGTCCTCTGGAACACTTTGTGCTTCGAAGAGGCCAAAGGTGGCCCTTGCGTGAACTTGCACAATTAGTTCGCTTCTCCAACCTGTGTCCTCAGGAGCTTGGGGGGAAGCGGAGCCTGGCCTCCTTTGAAACGGGGCAGGGTGTGAAGATGGTAATTAGGGGTTGGGTGAGCATTGATGGCAGTGTCAGCAGCAAATTCCTAGAGATGTTTACCTAGGAGTACCCAGGTATTCCAGAATATCCCGGAGCGTCCCAGGAAAAGGCACTTCCTTGAGCCTAAACTTTTCACACACTGCCCCTCTTGCCCTCCTCCCAGTCACTCTCTAACCCCTTTCCTTGCTTTGCCTTGTTTTTATTTTCATTGCCATTATTTTTCTCTGCTGTTATATATTCAGTTGTTTGTTGTTTACTTCTCTGCTGTCTGTCACCCTCTCTGTGAGCTTCATGACGGTGGAGACCTTGTTTCTATTTTTCCTGCACCCTGCACAATCACTGGCACACAGTAGGTACTCAATAAAGTGCTGAGTGTGTGTGGGGGGTGAATGAGGACTTGGGGTGTTAGGACAGCGTATGGCAGTGAGCTACATCCAGCCTGGCCCCCAGGAGATGCTGGCGTTTAAACAGGAGCTCTCAGCTCAATCCTGAAATATAAGGACTTGGAATTCTCAAGGCCAGGCAGGGTTAACCGCCTTCTAAGAGGGTCTGGAGGCCAGGCAAGGTCTGGGGTAAGGTCTCCATTTGGCAGATGAGGACAAAGAAGTAAAATGAGCAGAGACCAGCTCAGACACAGGCAACAGGAGGAGTGAACTCACCAAAGGTGCTCCATTCTCAGCCCCACACACCCATGGGCTTGCAACAGATAATGAGACGATGATGACAGTGAACGTAACACACATGGTTTACCAGATGCTGTTCAGAGCATTTTACTACATTAACTCATTTAATCCTCTGAGGTAGGTAATGTGGTTATCCCCACTTTACAGAAGGGAAAGTTGAGGCACAGAGAGCTTAGGCAACTTGCCAAGGTGACAAGGCTCAGAAGTGGCTGAGCAGGGACTGGAGCAGGTGATCCTGGGCATCGTGTCAGAGCAAAACATCTCGCTATTATCCTGTCACCCAGGAAGTCACAGTGCTGCCAACAGCTTCTTGTCCCAAGACCAGGACCGGGCTGACCCACGCCTGCCCTCCTATTTCTGAAATTCCCATTTGGACCACACCTTTTGCATTCACACATTGCTCCCTGGTGAGAGGGGTGCCCTAATGGTCAGACAGACTTAGGTTCAAATCCCAGCTCAGCTACTTCCTAAATAAGTGATGAGGGATAAGCGACATTACCTTTCTGAGCCTCAGTTACCCCATCTGCAAAATGGAGCTGATGGTGTTTTCCCCCGGAACAGCGGTGAGGACTGGTAAGGAAATCCGCCCAAGCTCCCAGTTGCCTGCATGTCATGCCCGTGGAGGGAATGGCTGCTGTGTTTCTTCCCACCAGTCTTTCCTCCTCTGTCCCTTTCTACTTCCCCCCAGACCACTTCCCACCCCAAACTAGCAACCTGCTTGCTGGCCTTGTCAGAACTCTCCCACCTTCCAGAGGATCAAAGTCAGAGAAATTAAAGGCTCAGCAGTATCCCTTCAGACTCCACCAGCTTAGCAAGCCAGGCAATTAAAGAAATCTTGAGGATTTGAATCCGGAGCAAATCAGATTTAAAAAAAAAAATCCCAAACTCTAAACCCCATGAGGAGCTAAATCTGGTGCCCCACAAAGCTATTTTCTTAAAAATGTCCTTTAGGCATTACTGAGAGGTAAGAGTTTCGAGTATTTGCATCTTAGGGCTGCCTAGCACTCTCAAAGGGCTCAGGGTCAAGGGAGATGTTTAAAATACAGGGTCCCCAGACAAATGCAAACAGAGGGACATTCTCCCCCAACAACTGGTCTAGATGCTTCAAAATGTCAAGGTCATAAACGACAAAAAAAAAAAAAAAGTCTGAAGAGCTGTTTCAGATTAAAAGGGACAAAAAAGAAATGACCCCTAAAAGCACTGTGTGATTCTGGATTATTAAAAAAGACGGGTGGAGGACAATTAGGGAAATTTGCTATGGAATGTGCCTAATAGAACAGTACTGCCTCATACTAAGTATCCTGAATTTTATAATTATGATGTAGTTACATAACAGAATTTCCTTGTTCTTAGCAGATAACCAGAGGTAAAGAGGCATCACATTTGCAACTTCTCAAATGATTCAGAAAAAAACAGCATGCATATTTATATATGCAAAGAGAGAAATGAGAAATGATGGTGCCAATGTGGCAAAAATCAGGATAAAGAATATACATGAATCCTTTGCATGATTCTTGCAACGTTTCAGCAAGAGTGAAATTATTTCAAAGTGAAAAGTTTTTTCTAAATGCAGATTCCTTAGTCCCATCCCCATGGAAAGCCCAATTCATTGGATCTTTGGAGGGGCCCAGGAATCTGCATTTTCGCAAGCTCCCCAGGGGATTCTGGCACACAGGAAGCCTGACTGTAATTCTAGTTCTGCAAAAGGCTGGGGCTTTCTTTCCCATTCAGAGGGCAGAGGCACAGCCCCTCTGGTTTTTACCCTTCTTACCCAGCTATTCCAGGCAACAATCAAGGAGCCACTAATGGAGGGTTTCGCGAACAAACAGCATGAGAGGTGCCTTCAGATTTTTCCGAAAAGCAGAGCTTGTTCCGAGCCTCTAACCCCCTTATAATTACATGACTTAAAATCCAATTGCTAAAGACAATCTGCTGGGGAAGGGAGATAGAGATAAACTGGGGTAAAGAGGAGCCTGCCAAGACAGGCGAAAGGGGCACCCGGGAGGACCAGAGGGCTCAGGGATGACGACATCACTTGGCTTTAATCCTCCTTAGTCATTTCCATTTGGGACATTGGCAGCTGTTGTCATTCCTTAATGCATGGGAGGCACCAGCAGCTCAGCTCATTGTTGGTGTTTAAATATGCCAGGGGGCTGTCTCACTAAGACAGGGCTGCCTCTCGAAAGCAGAGCCTTGGAAAAAGTGATGACACCCCAAAAGGAAATCAGAAGGAAAAACAACAAAACAACTCAGGTGGAAATGCAACAGCCTAGCCCAGAGGCTTGCAAACTGCTTTAACCAGGTCCCACAAAAAGAAATAATATTTGCATCACAATACAGTTCTCCCGTGCAAGCGTGCGC